ACTAGTACGCAGTATGGAATAGAACTCCAGAATATCCGAAGTCAGATTTTTGTATTACGCGCCGAAATTGTACAAAGCAATCGATCATGTAATGAAACAAGAATGTTCGGTTTATACGCAATCACCACAGTAGCGCTCAATTTCACCCCCTCGCGTTCAACCCATACCGATATGTGTTCGGCCACTCGGGTACGTAGCTGTCTCTCTGTTCTACCCACGCGCCCCTATTGAAATTCATGGATTGCATGGAGTTTGTCGCAGCGAGATGGCGGTGATTTCAGCAATGGCTTAGGAATCTGGGTTGTGGTGAAGCGAACGGCCTGATTTGCAGCAATATATGTCCTAATTGCCGAAGCCACTAGCCGTCTTCGTATGAGTTGGCCTAGATCATCACGTTTGAAACGAAGCCTAATGGTGATATCGCATCTTGGTATTAGCATCTCCGAGGGTTTGGGCTAGGCTTTTGACTGTACGATTGTATGCACTTTGCTGGGTACCCATTGAACTTCAGGGCTTCCGTGCCCCGAATTAGCTCAACTTCCACATTATCCGAAGCGCACAGCCTCCTACGTCTCACTAGGCACGCTTGTGGATGAGGACGCAAAATAATAACAAATCGTGCTATCAATACAAGCCGTCTAGCGCAAACGATGAAATAATCAATTATAAAATAATAAAACGATGAAACATGTTATTTCTATCCTCACAGTTAAATATACGTACTTATGAATGTAAGTAGTGCCTGGCAAAAATGATAGAACGGCTTTAAAATAACCATATTCAACAAATGACTACCTGAAAGTAAACAAGCTCTTTTTCAAAGCATCTTAATCATGCAATTACAACGCAATAGATATGACTAGTAACAGAGAAGGATTTACAAGAAAAAAAGAGAGGGAAAGTGATGAAAGTATTCAACAGTTTGTTCCCAATTATCACTTGCTCCGATTATGAAACAATTACGAAACAAACTGTTGAATACTCTAATTCCCCTTTTTTCCCTGTAAATCCTTCTTTGTTACTAGTCATATTTACTGTATTGCAATGGCATGATTAAAACACACTGAAACGAGCTTGTTTGCCAATTTGTGTTCCCATTACTTGTAAGTAGTTAGTTCAGTGACAGAACCCCTGTTGTAATTAGCACTCGGACTAGTAATTCGTGCACGTATCGAAATCCGTGCAGTAATAGTCCGACCTAGAACTAGGACTCGAAATGAAATCAGAGGACAGAACTCAACGACGGAATAGAACTGTAGTGAGCGGAAATTCGGAATCAACAAGATTATCATGTTCAATAAAACAAAGGAGTTCGTAGTTCATGAGCAATCACCAATTCCGCCGCAGCTTGAATAAAGCTCCGGTTTTCTGTAATCATGGTGAGTTTTGTGGAGTAATCGTTCAGATCTTCTGGGTTCTTCTTAACCATCTTCAAAATTTAATTCATCTGAAAAAACTCAGAAATAACAGTATCAGGATTGGGCAAATTACAAATTACTTGGTCTATGTGTCTACGATGTATAGTGCTATCGTCTAGATCCAATATGCGACATACTCTTTGTCCCATATTGTCCAGTACAATGCCCCTGGAGGATCGTAAATCGGTACCACGATGATACACGACTTCTGCAAACTTTAAATGTAGAAGATTTGTTCGAAGTACTCGACTCTTAAACAGCTTTGCTGGACTGTGTTCCGTAGTTGAATGTACTGCGTTGCATCAGAAAGTTATGGAAGCTTCTGTCCAGTTCATTGAAGGTACTGGGATTCGCGGAAGCAATGGCACTCTTCAGCGTGCGTACAAAGTTTTCCGCTGAGCCATTGGATTGCGGATCTCGGGGTGGAGTGAGAATATACCGACAACTCACGGGGTTCAACCAATAAGTAACCTTCTTGGCAGTGTAATGACTTCCATTGTCAGTCACGTTATCATGCGGGAAACCTCCTCCACTGAAAGTTTTCCTGAGTTCTCGAATGGTAAATTCTGCACTGGGCGATGTAGTAAAGTACACTTCTGGCCAACGGGAATAGAAATCCATGATCATCAATGCGTAATACTTGTTAAAGAATGGACCACAGTAATCCACATGTATTCTTTGTCATGATTCGGATGATACTGGTCACGGAGTCTATTTCCATGGCTGTCTATGAACTTTGTGCACACAATCAGCACAGGATTTTACAACATGATTCAGATCATGACTCAGTTCTGGTCACCATAATGTGAGATATAATCTTTTCAATGTCAAGATGACCGGGGTTTAAGTCACAAAGAACAGCAGCACGTAATTTCGGGGGTATAATAAATAATACAATCGTTGTAGCATAAGACACCATCACACGTCACAGAAATTTCCTCACGACGTTTAGAGAATTCCGGAAATCGACTCTTGATATCACCTCACCAACCTCGACGGACACCGGAAATGATAGCGTGGTAATATTTCCTGGTCTCACGAACTAGATCAGATCGACTTGCCGGGAGTGGTTGAGGGAGCAGACAATCAGCTATAGAAACCTCCTCTGAAATGGCCTAGCGTGATAGATAGTCTACATGTAGAATAGATTGCGCCCTCCAATGATGGGTGATGATGATGACGATAGCATTTGGGCATACATGTTTGGGGGCTCCATGTGAAATACTGAAAGCACCACTGCCGGTACCCACAATAAAACTGTGTCGAATTCTGGATTCAAAAGCAATATACTTGTAAATTAACTGCTTGTATTCGCTGGTTGTTCGTAATGTATAAATTGAGTTTCAATTCTTCTTGACAGTACGGTGTACTACTTATCATATTGCATTTCCGTTGGCGACATACCTTCTGAATATGGCCAACTTTATTTACCACAGAAATGACATTTTGCATTTCTGAATCGACAGTTGGACCGCACAACATACACCGATTGATGTTCGTGTTTGGGGTTCTCTGGTCAGAGTAATCGGTCTTCTGATTATGAGGAGATTTGGACTGCATACCGGGTCTATTGCTTCATGAACTACTCTGGAATAACGTAGACGACTCACGGGTTGTTGCTGCAGTGAGATCATCCTGCTGCTGCCTACATGTCCTCCGAGCATCGGAAAATGTTAGGTCTTTTTAGCCAGGCAAATTTCTCTGGAGATTTGTATTGCTAATGCCTGCAATAATGCGATCACACAATTGCTCCTCCAGTCTGTCTCCATAATTACACTTGGAAGCCTGTTTGTTGAGCAACAAGATGAAATCTAGACAGGGTATTGACTCGGCACGAACCAACGAACTGAATGTGGCCCTCCCAGTAGCTTGGAAATCAACAGGAATCACGTGGACAAGAAGCAATTGTTTCAGTATCAGGAATGGTAACTTGGTCGGATTGTCGGGGAAAGTAAGATTGTTCAGCAAACAATACATTTCCTTTCCATAAGCCGTGAAAAGAAATAGTATCGATTGATGCTGTTTTCCGTTCTGCCGTAGACTGCACCAGAGCTTGATAAGTTCGACCCATTCTTAAATTTCAGAAGGATGTGAATGTAGATTAAGGGATTCGATAGTGCGCAACTCCATGCCTCGACGCCAATTGTAGTATTTTGAATAGGAATCGAAATCAAATAGCGTAAACTCCATATCGGACTGAAAATTCACTGAATAGCTCAAAGTCAATTAGAATCAAGACGAGCTGTGGATACAGTTAGTTCTATTCAGAAAATCATGCAAATATTTATCACAAGCAACAAAATAATCATTGGTCGATTCTTGAATGTCCAATCGACAAGGATATGATTTATTTGTTTGCCTTTTTGCATTCAGCCAATCCGGTTGATGCCAACTGAGACCACAGGATTGATCGGTTATTCCGTTTTTTGAATGGTTACCTGGTTACCTGCTTACCGCGGTGCGTGCGTACTCGTTACACGATCACCACAATTGGTCAAAGAAGAAAATCGATTAGGGTCAGGATAGAGTCCAGATTCATCAGCCAGATAACCTGAACAAGAAAGTTTATTTGTCGCAAAAGCACAAAAACATTATGAGAACGAAATCTTTCAAGCAAAGAACACAGGCGTTTGTCATGTAACTGTCTGCTAGGAGCATGAACAATAATATCGTCCTGATAGGCACATACATCTTGTAAATCGGAGATGATAGAATTAACAGTAGTTGGAAAAATAGCCGGGGAGACACAGATTCCAAACGGCAGAAAATTGTAGTGAAATAAACCAAAAGGTGTGTTAATAGTCGTGAGTTGACGAGACTTTTCATCTTTAACACCTAAGACGAGCTGGGTAACAATGAGTTCACCAAATTAACCAAGCGGCCTTATCCAGAGGTTTTTCAACCAGGCAACATATTGAGAACAAAGTCGAGTACGAGCATCAGAGTGTAATGTGACCTGCAGTGGAAAGTGTACAGAGGGCAAAGCGCACGATATAACTCACCGGAAATTGTGTCACGTTCGAGGTCATGAAGGATCTCGTCATATAGGACGATAAAACAAAATAGGGCCTTTACATGAATCAAGGGAATGGCGTTGAGAAGTAAAAAATAATGGTGCTTCACATCGAGGGGAATTTGAAGAAATGCATCTTCCAAGTCTAGACTAGAGAAAAACTTGATACAGAATGTCTTCTGGTTCGACGGTGGCACAACTGATCTATTTCAGCCGTCTGTTCGCAGTAACTCGATAATCTCCACATATGCTGGGAGTCTTCCCATCATGGTTTAGGGGACTAACGATTGGCATGGTCCAAGCCGAAGAATTCACAGGTATCAGAACTCCCTTGTTGACCATTTCGCCTAACACATTTTTTACTGGTTCACGAAGTTCAAGTGGGATAATCCGACGTTTCATAAACAGCAGAGAACCGGTCACTTCGAGACTCACAGGAGTCATTTTGATACCACCCTTTGTCTTGGAACATTCAAGTACTAAGTGACGAAAGCGTGATTGATGGGAGTCAGACATGAATAAGAAATGACAGGTGTATACGATTCATACAATTCAAACCAGTTATAGAAATGTCGGAATCAATAACCAAATACGGACAGTGAAATGTTTCTGATTTAGCGTCTTTAAGAAGCAGCTCGCATAATCCTAAGACGGGAAACGAATGACCGGTTATTCCCTTATCTGAAATGTCTGTTCGGGAAAGTGTAACTGGGGGGTTCAACTGACGAAATACCTTGTTGGAAATGAAAGTATCAACACTACCAGTGTCCATGATGAATGTATGGCGAATGGAGTCAGTAATGATGAAGTCGCGAGTAATGTGGCGAGAGGGACGTGAACTTGAACTGGCTAGAGTTAAGGACTGTAAGTCACACAATAAATCTTCAGAGGAATGACTTCTCATTTTTACAGACAGATTGAATATGACCAATCTTACAGCAATTGTGATATTTGGCACTACAAAATTTACATGTTAACCGCGAATATCTTTGATCACAGGAATTACACTTGTTCCATCGTTGAATCCGTTGGTCATTGTGGGTTGGAGAACTGATGTTGCTTGATGTTTTTGAGCCCTTTTCGGAAAACCGCTTTCGTCGGGATGGTGACTGTTTGGAATTGCTGGCATTGAACAACAAGTTGGATTCATCACAAATAATGGCACGGAATTCTTGGTACTGTTCAAAGACCGCCGTAGCCAACTGAAATATGCAATCGTGCATGAGCAGAAGCTTTTGCTGTAATTTCGGGCAATTAATACCGGCAATTAATCGATCAAGTAACTGGGTTTGTAGTTGATCTCCGAAATTGCAAGTGGTTTGGGTTTGAACCTAAAGAATGAATTCACGCATGGATGGCTTCCAACACGTGTGAGCGAACGAAATGTAGCCATCTCAGCAGCTTCCAAATTAGATGACTGTAGATGTTTCAACAGTAAAGTTTTCAAGGATTCATAGGACAACCAACCATATTGGAGTGTCAGGTAAAGCCAAATTCTTCAACAGGTAATATGCATCCTTTCCGAAGATCGTTAGAAAACTAGATCTGTTGCGTTCTCCTTAAACGCTTTTTCACGTATTACACCAAATCTCGAATCGTTCAAGGTATTTTTCGACTTCACGCGCGCTGGTATGTATATTCAGGTTTCCCAAATTACAGGAATACATTGGTTCCAGACGACCGTGTTGTGATTAGCACTCGAACTAGTAATTCGTATACGTATCAAAATCCGCCCAGTAATAGTCCAACCCAGAACTAAGACTCGAAAAGAAATCAGAACACAGAACTCAACAACGGAATAGAATTGTAATAAGCGGATATTCGGAATGTACAAGGATATCGTGTTTAATAAAACAAAGGAGTTCATAATTTATGTGCCACAGTCAGGTACAGAAACACTTCTTCCCTTACTCTTGTGGGTAAAGTAATGGAGTGACTGGTGGCTGCACGGCCTCGGCAGCATTTGGTATGCCACGGTCACCTGTGCCACCAACAGCAAGGTTTCCGGCCCCCCAAGGCTCAGTTCTTGGTCCATTGCTCTTTGTGGTATATGTGAACGACCGGTACCGTCAACTGTGCAGCCCTCATCCCTTATGTATGCGGATGACACCAGTATCTGGCGAACAATCAAGGATCCGAAGTATCGAAGTTCTCTTCAAGCGGATTTGAACAACCTGGCTCAGTGGGCGGATACCTGGGCTCTTCCAGTCAACACAGCAGTGTGCTCACCTGCACTTGGGGCGTGCTGTATCAGAGGTAGTCTACAACTTCCAGGGAACCACATTGCGCAGAACATCGTGCGAACGAGACCTGGGTGTTATGGTCACGTCATCACTAAAGACCCGAGAAAACACCGATCGGGTCTGTGCTAGCACATGGAGCACTCTGGGGCCTTTCAACCAGCTCAAGATAAACGCTTTCAGGCTGCCGTACGCTTCCCATGTCAAACCAAGACTTTAGTATGGTGGTGTGGTGACATACCCCTGCACGGCCGGTGAACTGGCTAAGTTGGAGCGTGTACAACGTGCTACCACTAGACACGTTGTTGGACTACACGGAGCTATAAGGGTCGTCTACAGGTTACTGGTCTGTTCCCAATTGCGTATCG